ATTCCAGCAAATACTCAAAACCAGTCTGATTAATATCAGTAGCTGAATGTGTGGGCTCTAACAAAAGTTAAAACAAGGATCCCTTCATCTACTTCAATTGTCACCACAGGAGCTACAACAAACTAAACAATCCAAGTGAACATAAATAATTGAATATGTTTCATTATCAATTTGCTGATAGAGATCAGTGGCAAAAATCCACTAAGGGTTATAGGAGATGTGGGAAGGATGTGTCAAATGCCCAAGCATTGATTTGGCATACTTTTGAGGACAAGGAACCAACTTGGGAGTTGGTTTGAATTCTATGGAGTTTGTTTTCTGATTTTCACCAGCAAGGATATTTCAGTAATTTGGATTAGCTGCAGGGATTTTAGGGTTATGGTAATTTTCTGTCTAGTAATTATTTTTGGTAATTAGTATTTTAGTTGTTATAGGGAATAAGAAAGCTTAGCTTTCTAACTTTCTACTAGAATTTTACTCTAGTTAGGAGTCCTAATTAGGATTGGAATTGGTTTTGTTCTAAAGTCTATAAATAACCACTTCTCCACAAAGAGAAGTCAGTTTTTGGTCATTAATAAAATTCTCCTACAAGCTTAATGCCTTCCTTAGGGCTGTGTGATACATCCCAACTTTAGATGTAAGGCCTAAAGATTCCTAGGAGTGATTCCTAGATTTACCAACCAGTTTTTACCTTCTTAAACATATTCTCTAATCCTATTCCAAACTACTATTATAAGTTCGGGTGAAATTCCGTATCTAAGCTGTTCTACAAGCTGTTGTGCCTACTTAGTTTCGTGCTGCGTCAATTTTGGTATCAGAGCAAGGCTTTCCCATGACGACAAGAAGTGGGTTGAATTTTAGAGGTCGATACACAGACAAGGAACAGGATAACATCATTAATCTTCTCTTAGAGAGGGTTGCTGCGTTAGAAGACAAAATCTTTAATACTGAGCAACAGCAAATTCCTGAATCTAGAGGCAACGGTGAGTCCAGATCTGGGGTCAAAAACAATGGAAAGGAACCAGAGCATCTCAAACAGCCTGAACACACAATCGGGAATCAATCTGGTAGGAGTGAAAATAGATTAAATCAATCTTTTGGAAGGCCACAAGCCTCTCTTTTTGACATGGCTGATGAGATTGTTCATTCAGCAAGGCAAGGAAGACAAGACCCGTATGATTTCACAGGAGACTTCACAAAAAAAGGTAAGAGTAGATATCCCTGATTTCGATGGAAGAATTGATCCTAAAGTATTTTCTGATTGGCTCGCTACTTTGGAACGCTACTTTGATTGGTATGATATGACTGATGAGAGAAAAGTTAAGTTTGCTATCATGAAACTTGTTGGACAAGCCCAAGTGTGGTGGACAGGAGTCGAGCATGACCTTCGACTTCCTGGACAACTAGACTTGACATGGGAAGAGATGAAGCTGCGTTTGAAGAGAAAGTACGTGCCTCTACATTATGAAGCTGATCTTTTTGATGATATAAATAGCCTAAGGCAAGGAGGAATGACAATTGCTAAATATATGAATAAGTTTGCAGAACTGAAAATTCGATACGGAGGCACCGAAAGTTCAGCACAAGCTTTATCCAGATTTAAGTTGGGTTTGAGACCTGAAATTCACAAAGAATTGACGGGACGTGATATCTACACGGTTGACAATGCATTCCAAGCAGCTCTTATGTGACGACCCCATTCCTCCTTAGGGCAAACCCTAGGGTATCGGTGGGCCGCTTGCTTAGCTCTCACTAGGGTTCAATACAAGTCAAATTTAAACTTAAAGGTAATCAACCAATAATAAAAGTCAATATAAAGAAAAGTCGCTTCCTTATATGATCATTTAAGCCTCACATCACAAAGTTTCCAAAAGGTATGTCAAATTTCCCAAATAATACAACTATACAAAGTTGACTAAACCAATAACATCCAAATTCTAATCAAAAGGTAGTCATCAAGTCAGTTTCTCCAAAAAAATGTCTCCATTCTGAGATCCTGTTAAGGAAAACAAACTACGGGGGTGAGCTAACGCTCAGTGAGGCCAATAAAGCATGCAAACACATAAGTTCAAGTAACAATAACACTTGTACAAGAAATATAGCTAGAAAGTTCGTGTAATTCGCAAATAATAATAAAGCACAATCAATAAGGATACGGGAGCTCTCAAGAGCTAACTCCACACAGTTTAGTCAAGGCCTTGATCCAAATATCCCACGTTGACTCTCCGTCAACCGAACGAGTATCAAATCCTTAGACTTCACTTTCACCAAATTTTCGTCCACTGTTACACCCTCTACCGGGCCCACACGTCAAATAGAAAAGGCAATACTACTCGAGTATGCCAAGCAAGATCTCAAAAGATCAAGCTTCAAAATTTTCTCATGGTTTAGCAAGCTTCTCAACCAAACCCATGCCGGCTCGAGTCGCAAGATTAGCCAATGAGTTTTGGGCGTCCCCACAAGTACATGTATAATTTGTCGACGAGGTTCACTCCAATCGACATTCAAATTCAAGTTCAATACAAATCAGGTTCAAGTAAATCAAGTAACAAGTCAAGTAAAGGAGAGTGAGTGTGATAAAGTACACATTCGCCTTATCAAGTCATGTTCACGTATACAAGCAAGATCAATCAAGTAGATACAACAATTCATGCGCTTGACACTCACTAAGTCAAAAGTAAGTGAGCAAATAAGGTCCTTCAATTGTCCGTACCGAGATCCCCTTCGAAACCTCTTTGAGCACCTAAAGAAATAGTGACCAACCATCACTCACATATACTCTAGACCACTCAACATTCAAGGAAGGAAAGGCACTTGCTTAAAATTTAAACAACGCCTCAAAAGAATTTTTCTCATCGAAAATCGAGATTCAAAAATGAGGATTTAAAGTCACAAGAGAAACTTGTATCATCCATGAAATCAAGTTTAAAACGGACTATCAATCTCAAAAGGAAGTTGGGAGTTCCTAAAAGTCCATTTCTTATGAAACCAGAAATTTCCAGCTTTACTTGATAATACTTGAAAAATTATATCTTGAGTTTGGTAAGTGCAAAAATGAAAAACTTTATACCGTTGGAAACTAGATTCATAGTGCTAAAACTTTCCAGAAGACACTCTTCCCAGATTCTTACTAGAAATTATTCAAATTCCAGCCCAAAGTTACTGTTTCATGAAGACAGGGCAGAACCAGTTCTCATTTTTCAGCAATGTTTGGAAATTCGGCAAAATTCACTGGAATTGAATTAGCCTCCAAAATTTATAACACAGCAAGAGATTCAAGTCAAGTTTCAAACACAATAAGAGGAACTAAATTTGGATTTTTGAACAGCAAGATACAACAGTTTGAAGTTGGCTGGATTTCTCAACCTGTTCAACAATTTTCTAGCTTCCACTTTTGACATTGTTTTGAAATCAGATCATATCTAACTCTACACAAGTCCAAATTAAGAATGGTTTATGCGTTAGAAACTAGATTTAAAATGCAATAATTCATCAGAAGACATCATTTTCAAACTCTTTTCACAAGTGAGACGAAATTGAGCCATAAGATACAATTTCCCAGTTTCTCTCGCATAAACAAGTAAAACAGGTCAGTCCATTTTGCCAGTTCGCTACGGCTCACTCAAAATGAATTAGCAGGGAAATTTTATACCGTTGGAAAACTCTTGTGTCTAGTTTCAAATGCCACAAACAGCACTTGATTTTGACTTTTGTACAAAAATTTATACACAGACAATGAATCATTGGTCGGCTGCCCTGGCCACTGTTTTTCAGATTTCTTCCTTTCTTCAAAAGTCAAATTTTATATAACCAATTGAAATGATTTTTGAAATACAATTTCCACACACATAATACAACATATAACAAGTATTTTAGCAACCATATAAGCAATAAAATTCAAAATCAAAGCAAGGTAACTAAGCAGCAAAATTCGGCCAGCACCTCTCAAGAGTCTCTTCCAACTTTCTCTCATCTTACCAAGCCAATATCAAGTCACTCATCACACAAACAACAACAATCAAGTAAGAAAGCCTCAAGTTAGCTACCTAAAGGCCACCTCAAGACCACTAGCTTAGGATGTAAGGCAAGAAATAAAAGTCCTCCAGTTTAGAATCTTGTTTAGGGTTTCAAACCCATGAAATACAACCTCTATTCTAGGTAAACTTTGAAAGATTAACGAAGGATGAAGGTTACCTCTTCAAGCTCCTAAACCCTAGTTGTAAGCAAGACTCTCCACCAATACTTTACCAAGAAACACCACAAGCTTGCACCTTTCTTCTAGTGAGAGCAAAATTCCAAGAGATTTGTGGGTTGGATGAAGAATATCAAGTAAGATTAGAGCAAAAGATGAAATTTTTCTTCCCCCCCTTTGAACTTCAGGTTCGGCCGAGGGAGAGAGATGGTGAGGGAGTAAAATGTGTTTGGTTTTGTTGAGGGAAAATGAAGAAAGGCTAACCATAAGTTTGTATAAAAAGTCAACTTTCAATAGTAGTTCAATAGTGCCTTGCACTACCACTTTCTTTCTTGTTTGATACACTTAACTACTAACCCTCCAAGGTAGTTCCTCTAGCACTACAATTACTCATACATACAAGCCTAGTATTAAATCCTCAAATCTCCAATTAGTCGCGCCAGTGCGACTTTTGAGAAACTTTCGACGCGCGCGCGATAAAAGCTTAATTTAAGAAATATTCATGCAAAAATAGTAAAATTAAATAACACTAGGGCAAAATAATTATAAAATAGACTAAATTAAAATAAAATATGGGTCCTCACATCTTAGACTTGAAAAGAGCCTGGAGCAGTAGCCACTACTTAAGAGGTTCAATACTCAAAGTGGGGAGGTAATTCCCAAAAGATTTGCTGCAAATGGCAAGCCATATAAATCAGCAGCAACTCAAGCAACTTCCAAGCCTGTAGAGACAAAAACTAAGGCTTCCACAATCGATGAAAGAAACAAGAACAAAGATAGATGTTTCAAGTGTGGTTTGAAGGGATACATGGCATGGGAGTGCCCGAACAAGAGAAACTTGCACATTGGCGCCGATTTCGGAGATAAGGAAAATCTAGAGGTTGAGGAAGATGAAGGTGCTGATTATTTGACTGAGATAGCACAACTTAATGTTGATGATTTGGAAGAGGGAGAAGATGACACGTCTTATCTCTCAGTGTTGAGGCGTCTCCTTAGTGCACCAAAGTCACAAAAGGAAGATTGGCGAAGAACTTCAATCTTTCAAACCTTAGTTTGCTGTGGACAAGAGACTAGAAAGCTAATTATTGATGGTGGCAGCAGCATGAATGTGGTTTCAGAGTCTACCGTACAACGGTTAAATTTGCCTACCAAGCCATATCCTGAACCTTACAAGGTTGCTTGGATCAACAGTAGCTCTATACCGGTAACGAGACGTTGCTTGGTGTCCATTAAACATGGACCTTACAGCGATATTATATGGTGTGACGTTATTCCAATGACCGTTTCCTACATACTTCTTGGTCAACTTTGGCTATATGACCGAGATGTGGATCATAATGGAAAGACGAACACTTACTCATTCAAGTTTAATGACCAGCAGATTGTCTTAAAGCCTATGAGTGCTGAAACTATGAAGAAGTTTCACGAAAAGAAACCAACCAAACAAGAGAAATCAAGAGTTAATGAAGTGATCGAGACAAGGAAGAAACCTTTTCAGATTTTGAGCAAGAAGCAATTTGAAAGGGAAAACAAGGAGCAAAGAGTTATTATGGTATTAGTCTTCAGAGAGGCGAAAATTTCAGCAGTTGTCAACTCTGAAGAAGTGCCTCCAGAAATTGTCAAGTTGCTGTCCGATTTTTTTGATGTAGCTCCCGAGGATTTGCCGTATGGACTACCACCTATGCGTGATATCCAACATGCAATAGATTTCATACGAGACTCTCAACTCCCTAACTTGCTGGCCTATCGCATAAACCCAAGTGAGTCTGCTGAACTTAAGAGACAAGTAGAGGAGCTCTTGGACAAAGGACATATTCAAGTCAGCCTAAATCCTTGTGCAGTGCCGGCTTTATTGACTCCAAAGAAAGACGGAACCTGGAGAATGTGTGTAGATAGCCGTACAATCAACAAGATAACAATCAAGTATAGGTTTCCCATACCTAGACTTGATGATATGATTGATATGATGGCTGGTTCAACTATCTACACTAAAATTGACTTGCGAAAGGGGTACTATCAAATCAGAATTCGTCCAGGTGATGAATGGAAAACAACCTTTAAGACAAAGGATGGTCTCTACGAGTGGCTAGTGATGTCATTTGACCTCTCTAATGCTCCCAGCGCCTTTATGAGATTCATGACACGGGTATTTCAGCCCTTTATTGGCCGTTTTTTGGTTGTCTATTTCGATAATATCTTAATTTACAGCAAGAACAAAGAGGTGCACATTAACCATCTTCAACAAGTAATGAGAGTTCTTCGTCAAGAAAAACTCTATATCAACTTGAAGAAGTGTACTTTCATGGCTCCTAGTGCTGAATTTTTGGGTTTTGTCATTTCAAATAAAGGGACAGCTGCTGATCCGGGAAAGATGAAGGCAATAGTAGATTGGCCAGTTCCTACTAATTTGAAGGAGATTCGCAGTTTCCATGGGCTGGCTTCATTCTATAGGCGATTTATACGGGGGTTTAGCTCTATTATGGCTCCCATCACTGATTGCATGAAGCAGGGACAGTTTCAATGGACAAAAACTACAGCTAAGGCTTTTGAAGAATTGAAGAAGCGAATGACTGAAGCTCCAGTACTTAGGTTGCCAGATTTTTCTAAGGTGTTTGAGATCGCATGTAATGCTTCTCATGTTGGAATTGGTGGAATTCTAAGTCAAGAAGGTCATCCTATAGCTTATTTTAGTGAAAAGTTGAATGAGGCAAAGTAGAAATACTTTACTTATGACAAGAAATTCTACGCTGTTATTCAATCTATTTGCCATTGGCATCATTATCTTATTTATAAGGAATTTGTCCTATATACTGATCATGAGGCCTTCAAATATATAAATTCTCAAAAGAAGTTGAGTCATCGGCATGGCAAATGGGTTTCTTTCCTGCAACAATACAATTTTGTTATCAAACACAAGGCAGGTGTTGAAAATAAGGTGGCTGATGCACTTAGCCGTGTGCATCTTATTCTAACTACTATGGTTGTTCAAGTAATTGGCTTTGATTCAGTTAAGCAAGATTATCCTCATTGCAAAGATTTCAAGGTCATATATAAGGATTTAATGGCTGGTAAACAAGCAGAATATGCTGGTTTTTCCATCCATGATGGCTATCTTTTCAAGGGTACTCTACTTTGTGTTCCTAGTACTTCACTGAGAGAGGAGTTAATTTGGGAATTACATGGTGGAGGTACTGCTAGACATTTTGGGTGTGACAAGACAATTGCCATAGTGCAAGATCGCTCCTATTGGCCGAGTATAAGACGAGATGTCGGCAAGACTGTTGCTAGATGCCGAATTTGTCAATTGGCCAAAGGGCGAAAGAAAAACACTGGTCTTTACATGCCACTACCCATTCCACATGAACCATGGCAGGATTTGAGCATGGATTTTGTCCTTGGACTACCAAGAATATTGCAAGGTTATGATTCTATACTAGTAGTTGTGGACCGATTTTCGAAAATGGCTCACTTTCTCCTATGTGCTAAGACTTCATAAACTAGTAGTTGTGGACCGATTTTCAAAAATGGCTCACTTTCTCCTATGTGCTAAGACTTCAGATGCTGTCCACATCACTAAGATTTTCATCAAAGAGATAGTTAAACTTCATGGACTGCCCATGACTATAGTTTCAGACAGGGATGTGAAGCTTATGAGTTACTTTTGACGGATTTTGTGGAAGATGCTGCACGCTAAACTCAAGTTTTCTTCTTCTTTCCACCCACAAACGGATGGTCAGACAGAAGTTGTTAACCGTATCCTTGGTGATCTACTTCGGTGTTTGGTTGGTGATCATGTTTCCAATTGCGATCAAATTCTACTGATGGCAGAATTTGCTTACAATAGTTCAGTGAATCGATCGACTGGTTATAGTCCTTTTGAGGCTATAACGGGAAATAATCCTAGCAAACCAATTGATTTGCTTCCATTACCAGTTAATGCTCATCCAAGCGCTGCCGCTGAGGCTTTTTCTAAGCATATTTTGGATATGCATGATGAAGTTAGACATCGGATTGCTACCAGCAATGAAAGGTACAAAGCACATGCAGATTTGAAGAAGAAATTTGTAGAATTTGAAGAGGGGGATGAAGTTATGGTTCGTATTTGGCCAGAAAGGTATCCTAAGGGTGTCTACAAGAAGCTACATTCAAGAAGTACAGGTCCTTTCAAGGTTCTCAAGAAAATTAGCTCAATGCTTATGTTCTTGAGTTACCCGATGATATGGGGATTAGCAATGTGTTCAATATTGAAGATTTGACTGCTTATAATGGGCATTTAGACGATTCAGCAGGTGGGACTTCTAAGGTTGCTCTTCCACCTCCTACACGCTTACGTGAAGCAATTGAAGATGTTCTTGACCACCAAATTGTGTCCACTAGAGGGGGTGGCTACCAAAAGTTTCTTATTCATTGGAGGGGATGACCACGCACAGATTATACATGGATTACCGAATCTGAATTTCAGAAATTGGATCCAGATTTTTATGAGAGGTATCAGGCCATTAACTCGCCGGAGTCGAGTCTTCTCAAGCCGGGGAGAGATGACAGAGATCAGTGGCAAAAATCCACTAAGGGTTATAGGAGAGGTGGGAAGGATGCGTCAACGCCCAAGCATTGATTTGGCATGCTTTTGAGGACAAGGAACCAACATGGGAGTTGGTTTGAATTCTATGGCGTTTGTTTTCTGATTTTCACTAGTAGGAGTATTTCAGTAATTTGGATTAGTTGCAGGAATTTTAGGGTTATGGTAATTTTCTGTCTAGTAATTATTTTTGGTAATTAGTATTTTAGTTGTTATAGGGAATAAGAAGGCTTAGCTTTCTAACATTCTACTAGAATTTTACTCTAGTTAGGAGTCCTAATTACGATTGAAATTGGCTTTGTTCTAAAGTCTATAAATAACCACTTTTCCACAAAGAGAAGTTAATTTTTGGTCATTAATAAAATTCTCCTGCAGACTTACCTTCTTCTTTAGGGTTGTGTGATACATCCCAACTTTAGGTGTGAGGCCTAAAGATTCCTAGGAGTGATTTCTAGATTTACCAACCAGTTTTTACCTTCTCAAGCATATTCTCTAATCCTATTCCAAATTGCTATTATAAGTTCGGATGAAATTCCGTATCTAAGCTATTCTACAAGCTGTTGTGCCTACTTAGTTTCGTGCTGCGTCATTTGCCCATTACACTTCAAATACTTCAAATTGCTACAAGTTATCCATCAATACCTCAATTTGCACCTTCTTTATGTTAGACTTTAACTATGAGCAAAAGTTCTCATTTGGAAGCAATAATTATGTAAAGACTTCACTGAAGCATTAGCAGTAGGATAACAAAAGAAATTCAAATGCATTACAAGAGGAATTGCATTTTCAAATATGATACAATTTATAAATATGGTGCAATTGATATGCAAAATAAGAGAAACATTTAGCAAAGAAGCGTATTGGAGGTAGAATTTTTGCCCATACTTACCATAAAAGTGTCCACAGGCATAAGTGTTAACCATGAAAAGCATAGAAGTGTCAATAAGGGACAACAGCAACAAATGAAAAGCATAGAAGACTAATAACAATAAAATTGTCTCTTGCGATATACAAAATTAACAAACTTCATAGTTTTTTCATGGCTTCTTCAGCTTCTTCCTCTCCATAATGCGTCAACTCCGATTTCTTGATGACTTCTTTCTCGTCATAATGTGTCAACTCCGATTTCTTCAACTTCAGAATTTCCTCATCATAATCTGTCAACCCTGATTTCTTGAACTCCAGTTTTTTCTCTACTTTTTTCAGATCGTATGATGAACTAATTTGTTTGATCAAACTAGCAACGTATCCAACAAGCTAAATCAAATGTTGAAAGCCACATAATCAGCACTTATAATTTGTTGCATTACACAAAAATTGTCTCTAGTTTACAAACTGACCGCTTATAAACTTACCACTATATTGTGGACAAATGTCAAAGTAGATGAAAATTGGCTCAAGAAAGATTTGAGTAAGTTATTTCTTGCACTCTTTTCGATCTTATTTGTACAAAAAAACATCCATAACCCATAGACTGTTGTCCCACCCTTGAGAAAAACAACAAATTAGTCTGAATTTATCCATTTTTTGAAAAAAGAAACAACAATAAATTAAATACTTACCCAAATCAATTTGCCCTCTGTTTTGGTCTTTGCAATTTCATATTAACAATAATTCTAAAAGTACAATGCCAATTGCAGAATTTATTGACATATCTTTTTGTTTTCGTGTGTTGTAGCATTTGAGAGCTTTTCTCAACGTTTGAATCCTTTGAGGGCTTTATCAAACTCCAACTTAGCATCGAGTGATGGTGGTTTTGTATTCAGGATTGAAGAGAAAATGCAGAGGGCTGAGCTAGTTAGCAAATATAATTTAGCAAGTTTGAAAGTGTCTTGAGTTTGAGGTTGAATGTTTTATTTACTCTCTAACGGCTATTATTCTAGTTGTGATCTTATGTGTTTTGGTAATATTCTCCTAAACCTTTGGTTGTATTTGTCATTTTCTCCCAAATTCAAAATCACTCATTTGCTATGTTTTTTCTTTTGAAACTTGTGCTAAAAGTGAAAGGAGCATTACATATGGGTATGGAGAAGTCTGTATTTGGAAGAGTGGAGAGGAGCTCTTCAAATTTTCTCTGGAGGCACTTCCCCTTTGCTTACTTTTTGTGCTGCATACATTGGTAAAGCTATTTTATGATTGTTGTTGAATTTCATAGCAATATAATGGGGAATATTATGTTGACTATGTATTTTAACATTGGTTTTAGGTTGGCACATACACTGGGCTTCTAATTAACGTAAACTCTACATGGCACAAGAAAGCAGCAGCAGAAGAAGAACAAAAGCTTGCTAAATTGAAATTGCATAAACATACTGGAGATCAAGCAACAAATCCTAGACAAATCATTTTTTGAATTTTTTTCTTTTAACTTTTGAACAATATCAACACATGCCTGAAGTATAGAAAGATCAAATAAATTGTCATAACTATTAAACTTACCTACTTTTATGATATACTTCCAAGTTCCATACTTGTCATTTAAAACTTGTGATTTAGGAGTTCGGTTTTGAAAAATAAGTATGACCATGGGTGTAGGGTTTGGAATTTAGAGGAATACAGTTAGATAAATTAGTTGGAAGAAGATAAATGAGCCACCTTGCATTACGTTGATAATTTATTAATTTGGTTTGTAAGTTTTTAGTTTTTAGAAATTACCAAAATTGTCTCTATAATTTATAATATTCTAAAAAATTTATTTTTTTATTGGGTTAATATGTCAACCTGCGGGTTGACCCAATCCAACTCATTTCTAGTTGTGTAATTAACAGTTGACCCAATAATGACCCACTTGGATTCGAGTCTTGTTAATACCTGCTAATTTCGAGTTGCATTCAAGTTGTGCTATCGTATTGTGCCAAAAATTGCCACCTCTACTCATAACCATCATTCTCCTTTCTCTAACCTCACCAAAACCCCAAAGCGAGTGCTAATCAGTCAAAGCCAACTCTTTCTGAGTGATAATTATGTCTTTTGGTAATTCAAGTTCTTCAATTGGATCATGTTCAAATCTTGCTATCGTATCATGCTAAAAATTGCCATTCATTTTCAAAGCCTTCATTCTGCTCTCTCTAACTTCTCAGAATCCCAAAGCGAGTGCTAATCAGTCAAAGCCACTCATTTTGAGTGTTAATTGTATC